GAACTGAGAAGTTCGGAACGCAGCGGTAGCCCAGTCACCTACTGTGAGTCAGTAAATGAGTTTCATGGTCCATAATGATTACTACATACCTTTCGCCTTGTTGTTGTAGACAAAGAATGCAGACATGTTGAGCAAGACCATCTTCAAAAGGATTGCCTGGGTGTTTGGAGCCTTGATGGCCATCTCAAGATGGTTGATCACTTCCTTCTCAAGCCCCTCGTGCTGAGGGAACGGCTCTCCTTTGCTGAAGTGAGAATGCAGCTTTACGAACCAGGTGACAAAGGCCTCTTGAGGGTCAGGAGGACCTGTGCGACGAGCCGGCGTAGTTGGCGCAGAAAGGCTCTTGAGTTCCGACTCGAGGTTCTGTGCCGCCATTGGATGGGGGTCTTGAATTGCCATGGCGCGGTAGAAGTGATATATGATATCCAGGTGCTTTCTCTCATCCAAGTAAATGATACCCATCTGGTGGTGCGCGAAGCCGGAATTGGGAAGGATGTCGTGGGCGAGAGAATAGTATGTCAAGGCAGCTTCGTAGCTCGGAACCTTGTGTCGCGCCTGCATCCGGTATCGAGAAAGGTCGCCGAGGTGAATGAGCACCAGATGAACGTATTTGAGGATAATCTGGCGGACGGCAGGCGTAGTATTGGCCATGGGGTTTGCCTCTGCCAACTTTTCGGCCTTGATGCCCTCGGCAATGCGCTGAAGCTCGGGAATCGGGTAGACGGCTGACATGCGCTGGACAAACGCCACGTAGAACTTTTGCGCCGTCTTGAGAAAGCTGCTGTACATCCTATCCAGCTTGCGCTTCTGGACGGCGAGCTGCGACGATCTCAGCTTGCCCAGAATCTTTCGATATTCGGCATTTACAAGGCTGTGGGCCTGCCAGAGGTTGGCTTCGACCTTCTCGGTCGCGGAATACTCGAAGTCATGGAATATGACGTGAAGGCAGGCTAATCGGAGGCTGATGACAAGTCAGCAGGGTATTGCGACCCAGTACATTGGGCCCGAATTCGGTACGTACGAGGAGATGACGCTTTCCAGAACCTCGAAATGCTTCAGCTCGTTGCCGTCGGTATCCCCCTTGAGCTTGTCTACCTCCTTCTGCAGGTGCTTTCGAAGCTTCTGGGCTTGGCTGTGGTCAAAAAGTCAGCATCGGAAGGTAGGTGCCCGGAGTCGCATGGACCCCGAAATGTCCACCCAACTGGATAAGGTACGCTAGAGGCAATGCTTGGCGCAATCCAAATTTCGAGATGAGCATGAGGGGAAAATGGTGACTTACTGCCATGCCTGCTTTGCAGCCTCAACATGTTCCGCCATTTTGCAGAATGGCGGAGCTGGGCCCTGGCGTTGGCGATTGGGGGAGGAATTTTGGTGTTGGTGGTGTTGCGATTATTTTCGCGATGGGGTGGGTTGTTGTTGTTGTGGAAGGTGCGGGACTCCAGAAATTCAGGAATGGGACAAAAATAAAAAGCCCAAGCTACGTGCTGTGCTCACACGCTCTCAAGACCAGTCCCTGAAGGTGCGCGCGATCCATAACTTGGGAGGTGAGGTCGTCGGGATCCAAAGGGTGAAGGCGGCGATGGTGGTGGGATCGGGGCAGCGGCAGCGGCGTCGTCGGGTCCAAGGCTTGTGGTGGCACGTAATCGGGGTGATGAGAGAGTCGGGAAGAAGAACATTGGGCAGAGGGTCGGAGGGAAGGAGCGACGAGCGATGCGCCACCCAAAGCAGACATTCAAGAAAGGCAACACTCAGACAGTGTAGAAGGGCGAGAGTGGCAGACAGAGGCAGGCAGAGAAGAAGCAGGAAGAGGATGGCGATGTCGGGTCTCCATGAGGGACGCGAGCAGAACTTAGCTCATGGAACAATAAAGTGTGCACCTCTCAGTCTCTCCCGTCCATCCACATCATCCATCCTCCATCCACCTTCCATGACTGAGCCTTGGGGAATCAGTTAATATTTTAGATGGAGCCCCTCAACAGGCGGGCACTCATGGACCGTGCACTGCGCTTTTTGAGATTGGTCCCTGTTCGGTTCCGCAGACCCTCACTGAGTCCCTCATTGACACACTCTCTCTCCCTTAACGGGGGATACTTGCAGCTCCAGCATGGCCCATGTTAGCTACATCAGTGACGAGCCTTGTCACGTTGTTGCTTTGTTAGGAGCCTAGGCCCTTGCCTACAGTCAGGGCCTTTCCATCTTCACTGATTTCGATGATGACTTGTCCATCCGTCCCTGAACCTGCTAAATGAGCCCTGAGCATTGAGCCTTGCAGTGGTCTTTGACAGTCAGTGCCCCACCACGGCTCCGGTCTTTGATCTGCTTTCGCCCCAAAACATTCGATTCCATTCATCATCGTCGGACCTATTGTCGCCGATATTGTAAACCTGACTGGCCCAAGGCTCGGCGAGGCATATTTGGATTCCTGCTATCCTTACGGAGTACATCCTACGGATACCATATACTGCAGGCTGGCTCAGTCGTCCGAGCCCCTTCACCGATCCTGCCAAAAATTAATTTCAGGACATAACTCAGCAGAGCAGTGCGACGTGGGGGAAATTCGGGTGCCTGATCTGCAAGTAATCAACCTTCCCCGTCACTTGGCCTTCACTCAAGATGAAACGCTCACGAGAGGCCGAAGAGGAACACCCGTCCTCTGGCATATCTGCAGACGAGCGTAGCAGCCCGGAGACGTCAACTCCAGGTGACCGCGCTGCCAAAATCACTGGACTAGAGCCCGCCGTCGAGGGAGCATCTGAGAATTTTGCCATGAAATGTTCCCTTCCGCCTCACAAGGAGGCTCTGACTTTCAAGACATACGACGATTATGAGGCGCACTACATAGCGATACACACCAACAGGTGTCTGGAATGCGGGAGGAACCTACCGTCAAGCCATCTGCTTAATGTGCACCATGAGGAATGCCATGATTCCTTCGCCGCTGTGAAGCGGGAAAGAGGAGAGCACACAGTAATATCATCCCCCACTTTCTCTCATCATCGGCCCCTATCTTGCTGACACCGGCTACAGTATTCCTGCTTCGTAGAGGGCTGTGAAAGAAAATGCATGACACCGCAGAAACGCCGCATGCACCTCATCGACAAACATGGGTTTCCCAAGAACTACTTTTTTGCTGTGACCAGGGAGGGCGTCGATGGGCGACGGTCACTGCTAGTAGAAGCAGGACATCATCGGCGGAAATCGTCGAACACGTTCAGTGCGACCAAGGATTCAAAGCGCAGGTCAAGCATTCTGGACACGACCACGTCACAAGGCGGAGAAGAGTCACAAAAGGCAAGAGATGCTGTGGCCAAGCCCGAGGCCAAGTCGGTGCCCACGCAACCAGCGATAACGGAACGTCCAGACACGGAAATGGAGGATCTCGCTGGCGCAATGTCGGCGCTGAACTTTGTGCCGAACAGCGTGCGGTTTGGCAGGGGCGGAGGACGAGCAGGCTTTGCAAAACGATGAAAGACGTCACGAATGATACCACTACTTCGATTAGCGTTCAGGCCATGATATTACCAAAACGGTCAATTGAAAGGATCACTACCTCTTTCCCGTAAACAACGACCCGAGTGATCGTAACCAGGGCCGGAACCAATCTTGCCATGCAAAGCGCCAAACGCCTGCCCTCTACGGGAGGCCCGCTGTCGACCGTCGACCGGAAACTGTACTGACAGACAGGCTCGTGAAGGCAATCTTCCTGGAAAACACGGACACGGACACGACCAGAGACTCTGCTCTTCTAGTCACTGGATGCGCAGCCATGGCATCCGCAAGCGACGCACTGGACCTCTTGATCCCCCTTGAGCTGGGCCTTGGGAACTCGGCATATGCACGTCGAGTTGAAGTTGGTCTCCTTGGTCTGGACGCAGCGCAAGCAGCAAAGCTATAGACACACGTTAGCAGGATGACTCGTCGTTCGTTATTAATTCATCAACTCACCTTTTCGTAGCCCTGCTTCTTCCACTTGGCAATCAGCATTGCGTCCGCGTAACCGTTCTTGAGTAGCCACTCGTACAGCTGCTTGCTGATGGCCTCCTTCTCGTAATACAGGTCGTAAATGTAGCGACTCCTTGCGTGCGCAATCTGGAAAATCTCCCATTGCGCCTGGTGCTTCGGTCCCGTCGGTGGCGGCTTGTTCTGCGCGTCCTTCATCTTGTTCTGGAAGATGAGGAGCTGGTCTTCGATGTCGTTGAAGCCTTCTGGAGGCGGCTTGCGCTTCGAAGATCGCATAGGAGGCATGTTCGGCTTTTGGTTTGAGCGTGTATCTCGTAGATTCTTGCAATAGCCACTTTTGTTGAAATTTGACGGGCTCTCGTAGTCTCGTCAGGGTTCGTTTCGCTTCACGTCGCGGTTATGGTCTGGCTGGATGACGAAGGACTTGAAGTTCGAAAGGTCAGGTTGATAGGTTAGATAGTGGGGCAAAAAGCTCCGATATCTTATCGGCATGCCACTACCTTAACGCCTCTCCATACACCTGCGCAGGCGCTGGATCCGGGCTGACTAAGGAGCCACACGTGATTGGGCCGTCCGGAACCTTGGAGCTTCCCAAGATTCCCGTTCCACCCAGCCAGACCAGCGAGTCGACGACCAGGCCGTTCGGGAATCACGTAGCGCAGCAAGCAAAACCGCCCTCTTCACCAGCATCCCCACGCGCCCACCATGGCCATCACACCGACCCAATTCGCAAAGACGACCCGGCAGTGTGAGTTGTACAGACCAATTGACCCCGAAAATCCCACTGATCCGTTGAGCAGCGGCCAACTGGAACGACGCAAAGAGACGGGTTCTCGCTTCCTACAGAGAATGGATCCGAGCTGTATGTTGCCTCCCCAATTTGTCTCTGTCATAAGACCTTGGACGTACGCGGTCGATTCGAGCGAGGCGCGCAACGACATGAAGACGATTCGAGCGAGAAAGGCCGATTCGAAGGAAGCTGGAAGCAAGGAGCAGTGCTAATTGAGTAATATTGGGAATAGGCGCCTGAGATCCAGACGATGTACAACGTCCCCCTGCCCGTGTCCGTCCTCCGCACCCGGATACGTGAGGAGTTTGAGCGCCACAGATTCGCCAACAAGCTCCCCGTGGTGGACGTTCTCCTGTTCAAGAGCCACGCCGAATATCAGGTATGCCGTTCCTGACGACGACTCCTCCCCCCCGCGCACACGCGCATCGAAGCATACCAAGGGAGGGATGGATGGAGAGAGGGGTAGTCTTGTGTCAAATGGGAGACCAATTGGACCGATGACGTTATGATTGGGACGATATAAGACCAAGAGCTAACATATGGTTCTCATAACGCAGGAGACGATGAACTTCTGGAAGCAGACGACGCACATCATGTCCTACTTCAAGGAGGAGAACTTTAGAGGAGACAAGCGGTTGCCCAACAGCTTCATGACTGGATTCCTGGAGGTGAGTCTGTCCCAGAAACGCTACGGGCATGCTAGATCGAGGGGAGAGCACCAGGGGCAGGAACAAGGGGACGAAGGGCATTCGCAGACATTTGACGCTGTTTCGCTAACCACACTCTATACAGGGCCGCAACTAAGAGCGCTGGAGGGATTAGAGCTCGTGTACATAAATATACAATTTCAAAAAAACATTTCCGCAAAAAACAGAAGTCACAAGAAGAAAACCCCGACCAAATTGGTGGGACCTATTTCATTTGTTTTGTCTACGCCATTGGTTCTATCTTTTGGTGTCTCCATTCCCATGTAAAAATAAAAATAAAAAGTCAAATAACGCCATTTTCCATCTTCTCTACATGATGCGTTCGCTATGAACGACCAAACTCCTCCTTGGCGCGGATAAACTCCTCGGCGACGGTATCGCTGAGGGCCTGAAGGTCCTTGAGACCCTTTTGCAGAGCCGCGACGGCGGTACCGTCTTTGGGTTTTACAGTTAGCAACATAGGACCTGGGACTGAGAAAGGGATGAACGAAAGAGAGGGAGACTCACCATAGGTCTGGATTCTAATGTTCATCTTGGGTTCCGAAGGGTGAGGGATGGCGTAGGCGCAGAACTCGACGTCGGGACTGTAGTAAAAGGAGGGGTGAGTTTAGCAAAATGCCAGTAGGCCAGGTTGCTGCCCATAATGAGAGGTTGAGAGACTGGGGGAGGGGATGAGGAAATCGCAAAAACATACTTCTTCATGATGACATATCTCAGCGCATTGCCGAGCGTGTGACCCTCATCGATAAACTCGAATGAGGCGGCTGTGTCTGTTGAGCCGGGCAGCTATGAAAATCCCACAATCAGCTTCTCTCTCTCTCACACACAAACCTGTAACGTCCCCCATGATTGGAGAAAAAAACTTGGACGCATAAGCAGATAAAAGACTCACAATCTTGACGCGCTGGGGCTCCTCCTCCTCTTCCTCCTCCTGCTCAGTCGAGTCCTGTCCCTCCTCTTCCTCCTCCTCCTCGGGTTGGTGAGAAGTGGGCGCCTCGTCCATGGGGACGTCTTCCGAGTCGGTTCTGCCGGGCATGTTTTTTTTTCGGATTCTTGCTGAGGAGGCTGGAATTGGGCAGTTGTTTTGAGGGAGTAAGTGATACTCGAGGTGAAATTTGACTGTTTTGGTTCTTTTCGTCGCGGGGGGGTAATAGTATAATTCACTTCCAAGTCGACTTGCACTGCGCGCCTGCCGGGTCGGTCTCTCGAAATTTTTTGATAACGGACCCGCGGGGATCAATTTGATAAGCTGACAGCTGGCATCCACCATCTACCACCGGTACCAGCTGGTGGTACTAAGCTCGCCCAACTCTACCATTCCACATGCAAGCTTCGCATCGCATCGCAAAATGTCACGTCAGGAAGAGGCGTCATAGCGAACAAAGGATTCGATGAAATGCCACCTCGCCTCGCGCCTCGCGCCCTTTCCAATATGTTCCTTCCTCCTCTGCACAAGGGGGCCATCTATGGTGGAAGAGGGCAGAAAAGCTTATCGCTCGGCAGATACCTATAACGGGGGTGATATTTCACGAGACGCCTGTTCTCTTACCTATCATGTTCATCTTCATCTTCATGTTCCGAAATTTGAAAGAGACCAATATTGCTACTATCCTGCATCGACCATACTTGAGTTGCGACAACATCGTCATAGTATGCATGGCATTACCTGCTTACCTGGTTGTTTGCAACCCCCAAGCCAACATAAAGCCCGCTAAGAACCAATGGGAAACCTAGTATCGTTGTGATGGACAGCTTTCCGCATGGGGTAAAATCGAGAGACAATGAAGAGAGCACCACCACCACCACCACCACCAACCTAAAGGCGCGCGGCAAGATGCAGTCACGCACGCAACTCTGGTTGTTGGACGCATGAGCAAACTACCTGAGTTGCTAAGCACCTAGGTAGCTACCGACACCACCCTGCAGCTTGCAGCTTGCTAGTTCACATCGAAAGCCTCTGACTGGTTCCAAAGAAGAAGAATCCAAGATCAATAGCGCGCTTCTTTTTCAGTCTTTCGTCCCCCCCAGTTTGTTCTTTCCAGAGGAGATAATTCCATTACCCTGCATTTCTTGGTAACCAATCCTGAGTGGTTAGCCCCTCCAAAGCTACGGTAAGCTTAAACTCGTGGACTTTGACCTGTCTCAATGCTGTAATGAAAGCAATCAACAATGTCGTCGTGGTAAGCGAATGCTTCGGTATTAGCAAGACGTTGAAAGGATTCTCCGTACTCAGACCCAAATCTCGCAATCAAGTCTCACCAAGTCGAAATCCCCGTATTCGTAGATACCATGGACCTACAAAAAGCAACTTGTCTCGGTCCGAAAATCAAATTCAAAGATGCTCAGGGCCACCCCGCGGTGCCTCCCCGACCCCGACAGCCCAAGTTCCGGGTTGAGAGTCTTTCCTTCTCGGTGAGACAGGATAGAAAGAGAGAAATCCCACCACTTCTTCCCCCGTGGAACAGGGGCCCTCTTCACCGCTGCCCGCATCGCGTCCACGGACCATCCAACTCCCGCGTGGTTGACGTCCGTAAGCGCGCAGAGGCGACAGGAGTGGCGGAGAAAGAGATCGGATAAGACATCATACATGGCATGCATGGGCATCATACGGCATCACGGGAGCCTTGCTCCTCCTCCTGCTCCCCTTCCGCCTTCCGTGCCCACCTCCCTTAAAAAATGCCTATCAAGGGAACAAAACAAAACAACCGGGGCAAGGGAATAAAAACCTGATCGCGATCCCAGAGAGCCAAAGCGTTACGATGCAAAGCCGACAAGGCCGTTCCGGTTTCCCACCCTTCGCTCCTCGCATTCCCCTCCCGGTCAGACGACCTACGTTCGGATTCTGTTCGTTGGCTGCCAAACCAAACTCGACCAATTCGTGATCGTCCGGCGCTGTCACATCGGAAACGAGGTTTGATTGGCCGCCGACCGCACTTTATTGTTTCAAGACAGGGTCGATGTAAGCCACATGATTGGCTCGTTTCCTTCATCCTCAAACCGACACCCAGTTGGTGGGTTTAGCTTGGTGCGTCGTTGAACCGGGGTTGGTCAGGTACATCTCACGCCAGGTCTGGGAAGTCACTGTGATTCTGAGTGTGTGCTATGTAAGCAGCATTCAGTCCTCGCTCACCAGCCGCATGGATTGACGGATGGTTTGCAGATGACGATGGTGAGCAACGGCCGTCGTCTGTGAGTCCCACCCAGAGATGGGACGGAGACGTTCAAGGTGGAGGGGGCGTGTTCAGCGTATATGTGGGAAATGTGTGTGCAAGCCGAGGGAAGTAACGTCTTAACTCGACGAATCGTCTGTGCAGGCAAAGCGAATGCTACGCACAAGCCAAAAACGAACAGCCATGTTTTTCTTCTGCTTGATGTCGCTGAGGAATTTCAGGATGAAGATGTCTGTACCACCATTCACAATACCAAGGAAACCTGCCTGCAAGTGGAAGGAAAAAAAGGTTGTCGTCCCGAAAAGGATGAAGAGAAATTTTTAGGGGATGTAACGTCGACGACGAACCTGGAACTGTGGTGGGGTTTGGGGGTTACATGGGGGGCGTGAACATGTCATTCGGAGAGGGGTGCGAATGGAGATCGGTGCTGAGATACTGGATGAGAAACGGCTATTCGTATCTATCCGCACAAAAGACTGATAGAACCAAAGAATCATTAGCAAAGTATCCGTCGACGTCGTGGTTATACTACCTTCATCTATGATAATCATATCAATCCCATCTAGACGTTGTAAGTCGGCATGGACGCATTAAGAAATGGGAAATTTGACAGTTGACGACGTGCGCAGGAGGTGGCTCTGGCGTCGGTGACGACGACGGCGTGGAGAATACTGCAACTCTCCGACTCGTATTCTTCTGCATTTCACTCATCAACTTCATGCCAATGGTACGTGCGTCTTGTGCCACAACTCAACTCAGCCTCTTCTCTGCCAACTGTGACACAAAGAGAAAGAGGCTGGTGACACATTGACACATGGGGTTGCGGCTTAACGGTCGTGGGATATGGCCGGGATCTTCAGGGACGTTTTCACATGGATCTTCCCCTTCCGACCCCCTGCTCTTCCTGACCTTGCCTGCCCATGACATTGCCATGCGGAGAAGACAAGAGACAGAGTGAACCAGCACCAGCTAATCTCGCCAAACTCAGACTTCAGGAGGCTCAGGTCAGGTCAATAGAATGAGGGGCGGGTTTCAGCAAAGGCCTGCCGCCCTACGAGTGGCTACTGATCGCCAGTGGTGGCTGTCACGGCCGGAAATCCAGCGAGCAGAGACTCAAGACTGGATTGAGCACACCAAACGCTGCCCAGGTCAATACGGAAAGTCGGCTGTTGTCAACGTCCACCCAAGCGACTGCATACTGCGTCGGGAGCTTCCTGCGCGGCAGCGAGGAGCAATCAGAATCGAGGAAATAACTTTCTGGCTAGCGGAAACGCCGTCTCTAGTCCAGAGCTTGCTTGGTCGTGAGCCGCCGCGCGCGACACAAGAGCCAGAGACAACCCATGCTGTTGGCTGACCAGACTTAAGACTCGGACGGCCGATTGGGCAATCTATCTTGTGCAGATTCATCCATGTGGAGTCTCTGGGTCCGTCAGGTGTGATCAGGGGTGGTGGACGTGGAGGGGTGATACTGGCGGAGGAAAAGGTGGAGAGGCACTATATTTCACCGGTGAGAGTCTCGTTTGAAGTTTGGTCGAAATATTCCGAACCTATCGACGGAAATTTCAGGCTCTATAGTTGGGTTGGCAATGAATCGGTTTGATCGTTTGTAGTCTGGCCAGTGGCACCATGGGGCCAAAGGAGAAAAAAGTAATTCGAGAAACACACGACAAGGTCTTTCCGATTGTCGAGTACGGAGTATTGGATGCCCCTCTATTCATGGATACTTCTATGAAGTTTTTCGGTCCAGTTTCCGACGGTGAGCCAAGATACTGGGCGGTCGGCATTCGCACAGGCTTCGGTTGGACAAAGTGCTTGTCGCGATACAGATGCTGTGCGCAGGTTAGCCTCTTTCTTGGGAGCCCCACCAACGGGAATGAAGGTAGCTGAGAAGTTGTTCTCACCTTCCAATTGCCGTCGTCGCCCCCAA